ATTATTTTTTGGCATTGACAAATGCCCTGAAAATTTACAGATATCTAGTTTACATAATCAATAACTCGTTAAAAAGTTTTCAAAAAACGATAATTTTTTCTAGGCCCCGAAATAAAGTGAAAACAAAAAGTTAAAAGTGAAAAAAAACAAAATAGTGAGTGGGCGAGCACGTTTTGACACCCCCATCTTTGAAGATTTTTAATGTTTTTTTGGCTCTGCAGAATGACTTCAAAATTTATAGGCGTGTAGGTTACATCATAGAGAACTCACAAAAAACAATACAGAAACAAAAACTTATTTTTAGGCCCGGAAATGTTTTTTGGCGGGGGCCGAACCTGGAGGTGTTCGGCCCCCGAACGCCCGAACGTTCGGGGGCCAGCCCAGGGGCCCCCGAATGTTCGGTCAGGTGACCGTGTATATATATATATAGATATAGATATAGATATATATATATATATATATATATATATATAAGAGACTGAGAAACTGAATGATTCCAACCTGTCTTTGTTTTTTATTTTTATCCTTTGATTCAGTGTAATTGTTTTTTGTAAAACACTGAAAGAAATAATAATACTGTGAAACAAAGAATAAGAGGACACTGTTTTGTGTCATTCTGGTTTGTCTGTCTCTTTGCCTGTCTGTCCTTTCATTTTTCTTTTCTTCGCTCATCTTGCTTCTTCTACTTCACGTGCTTACGCTCTTACTCAATAGTTCTGTGACCATATATATGAGTCGGTGAAACTCCGACGAAACAGTTTGTCACAGCCCCTCGTTTGTTGTCCTCTTCTCTCTCTGCCTACGGTTTACCGGGCAGTTCTGTATCGTCACAAACAGAACTGCCCGATAAACCGTAGGCAGAGAGAGAGAAGAGGACAACAAACGAGGGGCTGTGACAAAAATATTATATGTATATATTAAACTAAATAGTAAATACTAAATATCTGTAAGACTATAACAAGTTAACAACCTATTTTTCTGGATGTTTTGGGTTTTTTGCAAATTTTTGAAGTTTTTTTCTGTGTTTTAAGGAGAAAAACAACCCCCCCCCCCCACCCCCAACCCATTTTGTGCTGGGCCAGATATTCCTTATCCGGAGTTAATCCGGACATGTTATTCGGATGATAAATCCAGGAATTTCATTCGGATTGATAAATCCAGATAAATCCTGAGGAAATTTGAAATTTCATCTGGATTAACTCTGGCTTTATCTATCTGAATGAAAATTCCTGGATTAACTCCGGATATCTGGATTTATCAATCTGGCTGTGCTGCCTCAGTTCAAACCTAGGAAGATCGTCCTGCGCTGGCCTGCCCGGCCATGCAGCCCCGCTTCACACCTGGGGTAGTCTGCTGCATGGGTCACCTAGGCGTGTAAGAAGTCAGGGATTTTTTTTATTTTTTTCCCCCCACGCTCAACGTGTGAAATCCAAATCCGGGCTAGTTTTTGTTTTTCAGTGTTGTCTGTTGGATGGGGGAAGGAACGGGTATAAAGTTACTGGGCGGTGCATTAGGTTTTTTAAAGGGGCTCAAGTTCCGCTCAAGGGGATTTAAAGGGCGGTGCTTTTTTTTTTTTTTTTTTTTTCCCCAATCTTTGGTTCTATAAGGAATTCTGGGGTATGACACTCAGCGAAAAATTGTTTGCATTTCTTTTCTTTTTTTTTTTATTGCTCCGGTCTATTGGTGGGGAGCCGCACCTGCTGGAAACCGGGTCCAGCGTCCCATTAACATCCAGAGTGTCACATCAATTGTCTGCCTGCCAGCATTGATTGCCCTAGCCGGCAGGGGATTAACTGAGCAGGATACGGTTTGTAAGAGAAAGACTGAGAAAGACTGAGAAAGACTGAGAAAGACTGTGAAAGACTGAGAAGAAAGGAGGCCTCTTCATCCTGCTGCAGGGCGCCTAACCGTCCCCAATCTCCTGGCCTCCTGCTTCCCTTTGAACTCAGCATTCTAGAGTCTGAGAGGTCTAAGATTTGTCTCTGTTGCTACACAAGATATTGTTTTCCAGAAAAAAATGATTTTCTTATTTTGCACTGGGGCCCTGGGACTGCCCAGGGGTCCTGCTAAGCCGGACAACCAGCAGTCTGCTCACCACTTGGGTGCCCAGTACACATAATTTCTTCACAGGTTAAAACTAAAAACCATGGCTACGAGCTCCCCAGAACGGAAATGGAGCCAGGGCCATAAGGACCTGTTTAAAAGAAAAGAAAAAAAACACCATGTCTACGCCGGACCCGGACCCAAACAGCTCATGTCCGGGGACCGGACGCATGTCCGGTCTGGTCCGGACGACCGGACTTCCAGACACATCCAGACCTCCAGACATGTATGGTTCCGGATGGTCCGGACCGGTAAGCAGGTCAAAAATCTGAAAAAAAAAACTATGTTATGCAGAATAACTATACAAACCATTTTTGCCTCACAGTCATGTCAGAATTCCTAACCAAACTGCCGGTCATTCTGAGTAACTGAGAAAAGGAGTAGTGAGACTTCAACTTAAGGTCTCGGCGCTTATGGCGGCGACAGGGCAGCGGGGGATCACACAGCGGGGTCAGCGAGTGTTTGGCTTTGCGCGCTAGAGCTTGCTGGCGGCATGGCAGGGGCGACACGTGGTGTAGGGCGCGTGGGCGCGGGTGGGGTGTACGCTTCACAGGGGTAATACCAAGCCCCTTGGCTATGGCCGATCTCGGTCAGTATTTGCCGGGAATCCTGTTTAGTTGACAAATGGAGGGATTTGAAGTGGGGACAACTGACGGACGAGATCCTGGTCGCCGCCTCATATCATAATTGCAACCGAAACCGATCAGGGGTTTTCATCCCCTGGTTTTAGATACGGAGCCTTGACCGGAGGAAGACGTCACCATGAGAGTTGCGACATGAGGAGCATTGGAGCTGATAGGTGCCGGTTCTGGTTGCTGACCGGGACGACAGATTGTTTGATCAAGCGTTCTCCCGACTGCCAGTGTACTTGTGCCGAGGGATGGACCCCTATTGCGGTGATAATTTTCTTCATTCTATAGTTTTGATGGCCAATTAGTAGTAAAAGTTCCGCTGGTTTACTAGGTAATTCGTTTCTTTAGTGGTTATTTGTGGGGTTAGGGCTTCGCTTCGCTTCAGGTGTATACATGGTTGGGGTTTGGTTGGTGGCACACAGGATTGGGGTTTGAATTTTGTTGGGCGTTTCTTTTTATGATAGTTAGTTGAGAGAGAGAGAGAGAGAGAGAGAGAGAGAGAGAGAGAGAGAGAGAGAGAGAGAGAGAGAGAGGGTTGACAGACCGGGGCATTCGTAATTGCGTTTTGCTGTTCTTTTTCTCCTCGTTGGTGGTTGCTCTTTTCATGTATTAGTTTTGTTAGTTGGGGTTTGATCATCGTTAACTAAGATTGCTGTTTCGTCAAGTACGGAGCGCTGTCTGTAGTAATGAACCGTTGGGATCTGCCTGTATTTGCCATCTGATTTAGGTTTTTCGTTAACTTTTGTTGCCTTGATGATCAGCTTAATTAGGGGCTCTGCTTATTATAGTTAATTGTGGGGGTATTCCGTCTATGATAGTAATTAGGGTATTGTGAGATTGTTAGATTCTCTCAGACTGAATAGGACCTATTACTCTTTGGATTTTGTGTTCTTGTTTTGGATTGGATAGGGCATATGGTGAGTTGGGTTCCGTTTCTCCGTTGATTTGGAGTTACTGTGGTCTGGGCTCTGCTTGGCCGAAGTGCCCCGCTCAGCTCAAGAACTGCGGCACCTTTGTGAGGGACGCTGGGCCCGGTTCCCAGCATATAATAAAATTTCTTGGTTTCAAAAAAAAAAAAAAGGATTCTTAACCTTTTTTTTTTCTTTTTTTTTTAACACAACAAACAAACCCTAAGCAAACTTGAGTTAAAAGCATGGTTGCCCCGGACCCGGACATCCAGACACCGGACACCGGGCCCGGACCCGTGTCTGGATTAATCCGGACGTCCGGTAAACCGGACATCGATCTGGACAACCAGACATACGGACCCGGACGGTCCGGTTATGAAARAACAGGTCCGGATGTCCGGATTAAAAAAAAAAAAAAAAAAAAACACGCTACTGTAGTTATGTAACTTGTGTTATCCGACTTATCTTGAACACACTCACTTACACACACAGTGCCGTACACACACACAGCTGCAAGAACGATGGAAGGGGCACCCCAAGGACAACCAGAAACTGCCTAATTATAAAATTGCCTTAACCTGTTGGACTGTGACTGTCTCATCTCAAATGCTCTCGTTGTCTGCAATACGAAAAAGACTGCTTTGAGTCTGAATCTATTCATCTGGGTGGAATTGGGGCTGTTGGGGGGGAAATCTATAACACACACACATGCACACACACACACACACACACACACACACACACACACACACACACACACACACACACACGCACGCACACAAACACACCCCGCTGAAGCTCACCCAAGATTGCAAGTACAGGCCCTTCAGGGCCGGTCCGGTTGGCCCAACGGTCCACCAAAAACTGCAGCAACAATTTTCGGGGGTCCACCAGGCACTGGAAAATTGCCTGGGGACCCCAATTTTTTTTTCAAATTTTCTCAAAATGGGGCCCAACCGGACACCGGATCCGGACATCCAGACCAGACTGTCTGGATCCCGATCCGGACGTCCGGTTGACAATCATGGTTAAAAGCCAAAAACTGAAAAAACAACCTTTTAAAAAGTAATGAATTATTAGTAATTGAAAAAATGGGTATGTCTAATAAATTATTATAGAGAGACCATGTCCAGAACCCCCCAAAAAAGCAAAAACGGACCTTAAAAAAAAGAGCAAATAAAAAGAAGTCCCAATTTTTTGAAGTTTGAAGACGACAGGGGCGAGGTCCCACTAGCAACGGGATAGGATAGAAACGAGTTTGTGGGGCAGTTGAGTGCCCCAAATCCTGCCGTGCAGTACTAGTGATCCCACGGTCAGTATTTTACATGTATTACCCGAAAAAGTAAGGAGATCTGTGTTCCCCTCCTCCTCTCCTTAACACTGGGCATGCCCATGCAAAGAAAGCTTCCCGCCAGAATCTTTTCTATTGGTTGGGGGTGTGGCCAACCCCAAAAGAGGGTGGGGTTGGCCGTAGGCCCACTGGATAGAAGATTTTCAGTATTTTACTTGCTGTTGTGCAATTATCTTCATTGGGTGGAGCCCTCCTTCAATCACGGAGTATATGGAGGGTGTCAGGATCACTGCTGACAGAAGTCGAGTTTATTCCAGAAAATGTGGCGGTTACTTCGTTCAGTGTTGATGCAACCACCAAGCACTCTGCAGTGATTTCCGATGGGAGGTCTCTGTTTCTTTTTTTTTCTTTTGCCTTTCTCCTGTTTTCTCAGCCCAGAAATTCGTAATGAACCTGTCATCCCACTGCCACTCAGTGTCACACTGGATCGACCACACTCCTATCCGACTGCTAATGGGACCTCGTCCCAGGAGCCAGGAGCATTGGAAAAAAAAAAGCAAATAAAGAAAAGCCAACTATGCCTCGAAAGAAAATGAGTTCCAAATAGGCAAAAAAATTTGAAAAAAAACACGTACCAGCGGCTCAGTCATGCGCCAAGTACAAAAAGGCAATAAACGAGGCGCCGCACTTTCTAATAAGCGCCCATGTCACGAGTACCGGGGCAGCAGTGTTGTGCAGAAGGCGCGAGTTGAAAAAAGGCAAAGAAAAAAAAAAAAACTGGGCTGTTTGTGCAGGCGCCCGGGCACCCAACTTCTCCCCGGATACAAGCCCGGTTTCCTGGGCGGGCACGAACCCGGGGCAGGGTTCCAGGCAGCCCAAAAGGCAAAAAGAAAAAAGAAAAAAAAAATCCTGATAAAGAATGTTGTGTAGAATTGTGCAATCAGACTTGTCGACTTCGACATTCAGCAACAGATGACGATCAAGCTGGCGACATGCGCCCACACAAAGCTTAGAGATAACGAAGCCACGAACACAGTTCAGATTCAAACTTGCTGCGTTCGGCTATGGCCGCAACTTGTTCGTACACACACAACTCTGGATCTCCGTGGATGCCCGTCACATACACTCAAACACTCACACACTCACACACCAACACACGTACTAACAGCTTACCGCTAAGCTCTGGCAGCTATGGCTGCCTCCTCCTACACTAACCACACCAGCGGCTATGGCCGCGTCTTCTTCCTCTTAGCCCACTCCTCCTACGGGCACCGGCAGACCTCCTTGCACAAGACGCTCAGGCAGCGCTTCTGCACGGCTCACAGGCAGAATGAATGAATGACTGATCGCTGCCTCTTTATTTATACTTTGGATTGTCGCTGGTCTGCCCTTCTCCACCGGGCCCGGAGTGTACACAGTCCCGCATGGTACTTGCTGACTTGACAAGGTGCGACTGGGACTGAGGCACCGCTAACTGAGCAAGGTAAGACTGCCCACTTGACCACTCAGTACTGTAGCAGCTACGATTTGACCTTTCAACACTGTAGCAGCTACGACCCCTACTACTGCTAAGACCTCTAACCTACAGACCCCTACTACAGTTCAAGACGCCGCAACCACACTACCTCCAGCAAGCAAACAGACGACTTTCAAACACAGGTCGCGGGTTGAAGCTCACACGGGTCAGCTAATACTGTACACGGGTGAGGGCGAGGTCTAGGGATCGAGCCCTGGGGGCTGCACCTGCTACCGTAAAGGTGAAAACCGTTTCAATTGTAATACAAACGGCTTTTGGGTGAGTGTCACATCAGAATTCCTTATGAAAATTTGCTTAATAAAAATAATAATAATTGTCGAATGCAAAACTTTTTTTTCAGGTGAGATGGTGAGCAATCACGATGAGCTGATGTGCAATTTCTTCGCGCAGGCCGATGCTCTGGCAAATGGCAAGGTATGTGTGACGGGCGTAGCATGGTTGTGCTTTCCCTCTGATGCCCTCAGCTACACACGATCGTCCTCTTCCCCTTTCCCGCCCTCCTCGCCTCCATTTCCCTCTTTGCCTCTCCTGCATCGTCTTCTCTCATCCCCTCTGATGGACCGCAGCATTACCGCGGCAGGTCCACTTGTATATATAATAATACATATATATAATATAAATACTAAATAGTATTAAAGCACAAGCACATGGGCATCTGGGCCGCAGGCCTGACACCTCAAATTGTGGAGGCGCGAAATGAAAACGCGACCGCCGAATGAATTTATCAACGGTGGGCCCAGCGGTTGATGTTTCGGCCTCGTTTTCTTGTGGCGACAAGTTTCGGTGACTGCAAGGCTGGGGCCGTGTACTTGTTGTCATTTAAAATTTAAATACGATTCTTTATCAGCCTCGGTCTTGTTACGATTCTTTATCAGTCTCTAGAGATGAAAAGCAAACACATGAATTTTTATTTTTATTTTCACATGAAATTTTGTATTTACTGTGATAATTAAGGAAAAAAATAGGAAATATGAAAAAATTGTAGATGATGGAATCATTATTCATAATTAGTGTGAACAGTGCATGTTTATGGACATAATTGTGGTCAGATTCATCCAGTTACATGGCATATATGTTACTAAGTGGGGTTTTGCTCCTGTTTGTCCTCTTGTCGTATGTTTTTTGACACGCGTCAGACAAGGGAGGAGCTTCTGACTGAGGGGGTGTCAGAGGCATTGGTTCCACACAAGGTTGGTGTGGACACTGCGGACTTGTGGTCCTTTTTCTTCCATAAACCTGTCCTGATTCGCCGCACCTTTGTCTTGCATCATGCTGGACTGTTTGACGGAGAAGACAAACAACATTCTTCACCATGCACCGAATGTCGTCAACGGAGCCATTTTTCTTTTTTTTT